CCATAATTTGTCCTAAGCGGTCATTTTAATGAACCAGAGGTCTAATTTCGACCGTGCCTCACAAATGGTCGATCCTTGGATATCAATCTAATCTATCCTAAGGATTTTTTAGTCCAATCCTACCTTCAACTTAATCCTAGTATCAACCATACCAACCATTTACCTCTTCTACCCTGATTTTAATAATTTATGGCCTTTTTAAGCAGTAAAAGAGTTTTTATATCCTAGAAGGTAAAAATATTAATTAACTTATATCTATTTGCTATTAAGACAATAAAATAGGCTAAGAAAATTTCATAAAAGCCTTATCAAAATATTTTGAATTCTTGTTGAACTAATATAATAGAGTATTAATTAAAAAATCATTTTTAGTCATATTTTCACCATATAATTGTGTTACAACACGATATTGGTGTATGAAAGTAAGATAGAAGTAAAAGCCAATAATGGTGGCAAATAAGATAAGATGAGCAATAGAAAATAGTTGAATATTAGTTTTAGGGAATCTATAATAATAAAAAAGATTATAAAGATGAAGAAGAAGACAATGATAGAATTTGATACAAACCAAAGAAGAAAGAAGACAATGGCAAAGTTTTAGATAGAGAAGAAGAAGGATGAGGATAATGATAATGAAATCTTTGATCGACCAAAATATACTATCCATTTCGAAGATTGGCAAGAAAATTTTTTTCTTAGATTTGTAACAAAGTTCTATATTTAAAGTGCAGTATACTTGTAAGATTGGTAGTAAAAGAACAAACAAGTTCAAACTACAAATAATATTACAATCAATATTGAATGATCAAGAGAATACAAATGGTCCTTAATACTTTTATAACTATTATTATATTCATACTTAGGTATATTTCTTGCCTTGAATAAGACTCAAATTTTTCACTAGAAAGGCAATCAATCTAATATCTAAACTTTAGAAAGAAAGATTTTATTATTCGTGACACTTTTTTTTGAAAATATAGCATATGAAGCCTTTGGCAAAGCCAAAGCAATAAACATCACATCCAACAAGTATGGAAATATATCAGTGTCACTTCTCTACTTGGCATGACACAACATACTTTGGCAGTATTTTGAAGATTGCTACATCAAGGGCAACACCACCTTCATCTTGGCAATGTTCAAACATTCTTAGAACATAAGCATATAAATTGCAAATCTAATGGATTCATCACGGCATCATCCTACAATAGCCTTGATAAACTTTATTCAGCAAGACACATGGCAAAAAAAAGATAGAATTAAAAAAATAGACAAAATAGGTTATTATATGTTACAAGCATTTGGGCCAAAGGAAAAAAAATCAGTGTGAATATTAAAAAATTTAGACATTCTCTCTTGTATGTGGTTTTATTGATATGCCTCCAATAGAGAGCTAGACTCATTACTAATACGTGCATATGTATGTGTATATATATGCACATATATATATATATATATATATATATATATTTAAAGTATATGGTAGTAGCAGATTGGTTCCCATTATTTCAGATTTTGGTTTTTGTTTTGCTATAGAAAGTAAATGCTTGGAGAGCATGGTTGAAAATTCCTACTCTTGTTTTGGTAGTAAAACCATAAAATATTGGTTTTCATGCCCTCTCTCTTTCTTTCTCTCTCTATTTCACTTGCTATGAAAAATTGTTCTATTTACATATTCTTCTATTTTGGATGGCAATAGGAATGAATTCTCAAACTTAAGTGCTAAAAGCTGATTTGGAGCAATAATACACATGAAGATTTTTCAATCATTAATCTAAAGATACATATCCATTTTTAGAATCCTTCATCTAATTGTACCTATCAACCTTAGTTCAATCATGTAAATTGTTGCAGTGAGAGAATAATGTTCTTTGTCTGAATCATCAAAATTAATGAATATTTTTTATCAAAGAACATTACAATGGACTTAAAGTTTTATATATTATTTATTTGATTGAATAATTATACTCTATTTTTTACTTTTAATGAAATTTATAAAAAATATTGATTTATATTATTTTTATCTAAAGTAAAATTGATGAAATATATTGCAATCATTTTTTATAAGATGTTGGATTTTCAAAAAAAAAATTAGTTTATTATAGTACTTTTAATAAAATAGAATTATATTTAAATTAATATATTATTAAAATTGAATATAATAATCTTTAATATCTTTAATAAAATTAATAAAGAAATTATTAAATGAATAAAATTATATCCTTTGGATAATACAAAAGGTTTTTTTAAGATTTTCAAGTAATTCTAATTTAATATTTTTTTCTAAGCATTAAATTTGAAATAACTTAATGATTTTTAAAATCTATCTATTAACATATAATTTAAATGATTTTATAAATATTCTTTTAGCCAATAGTATCTTTATGAGACATACACACACATACACACACACACACACATATATATATATATATATACACACTAGAAGAAACTTGTGCCCTTGGACATTACAATCTTTGGCGGTGCTATCTATCTATTTTCTTATTCATCTATATTCATCTATATTCATCTATATTTAACCAATGATAAGGCTTCTTTATGTCTTTAACTTATACCTAAGTTATTTTATATAATAGATAATATATTTTATTAGTTGAATCTAATTGTAATAACACCACAACTTGTTAACAAATCTCATAGTTTCTTTTTTATAAAATTTAGATTTAAAAAAATTAATTAGATAAAATATTACTTTTCTATATTGATTCTACTCTATTTTTTTTACAAGTCAATTTCAGAAACACATAAACAACTTGTCAAAAGATTTTTATAAAAAAATTATAAAAATTATAAAAATTATTTAAGCATTGAGTTTCTATTAAAATCTTAAAAATTAATCTAAGTTACAAAAATTTATACTTTCTTAGTACTTTTTCAACTATAAATTGAGATAAAGTCTTCCATAATTTAGAGTTGAATCAAATAATATAAATCTTTTTCTACTTTAGCATATATTCTTATAAATTTTTATATTGTATTCTTTTTATATTTTTAGAATAGATAATATTATTTAAGTATATCAATTTTTTATGTTTACAAAGTATAGCATTTATTAAATGCTACAAAGTAGCTAGAATATTGTGAAACAAATATGTGGGATAAATATATGTGAGATCACATTTAGCTATTTTTACTTGGTTTAAAATTCTACATTATGTTTTTCGTAAGATTTACTTTTATATAGAAATTAAATTATTTTAATTAAATGATCAGAAAAAACATGTATAATTAAAATTTATTATTTTTTTTATAATCAACATATTGAATTTACAATAATCTATAGACAATAGCAAGGATCTATGATTTATTTACAAAAAATATTTGTACATCTTTAAAGAATTTTAAATGTTCCATATACTTTTAAAGTTTATAAATGAAATACTTAAAGATAAATAAATTATTTTAGAATAGTTTGGAAGCTAATCTAAATAGCGGTTGAATTTTTTCTTAAAGATAAATTTTGTAATTTTAAGAATATTTTTAAAAAATAATATATAAATTTTTTTATTCAAATAAATGTTAAAAATTCCCATGATATTTTAAAATCTAGTAGAAACTTAAATTGAATGAGAGATAGGAGTTGCATAAATAAAATAAAATAAAAATAAAAAAATAAAAAATAAAATATTATACAAATAACACATTACTCTTGTAATTTGATAAATAACATTAATAAGGAAAATATATAATATCAATTTTATTCTTCAAAAATATTATCTGAACTTGTTTGCATCAATTCCATTACCAAAAACAAATCTCTTCTTATTGGATCTAATGTAAGAAATTTATTATTTCTAGTAGCATTATCTTTCATTGCTGAAAATAATTAATGAGATTAGCAAGGTTTAATTAAGCTAAGATAACACCTCCTTTGCCAAAATATGCATTCTATATAACATCTAGTCTTTTGTAGCATAAAAGAATCTCAAATACTTGGATTTACAAACCTTTCTAAAAAATCCTTTGCCATCATATTCTAAAAGGTGTATGCTTTTGATAGTATTTTTAATGATAGGTACTATTAATGTCACCAAAAGTTTTGCAATAATCACCATGACTTCCATATCATCTTTGTTCCATGTTATTTGCAAGCAAAGCATTTAGCAAGTGGGTGGCAAATTGTACTAGTGGTAGCAAAATCTATAATGACCATAGAATTACCATATATATATATATATATATATATATAGGTGCATATATTATTAGCACTAGGGCAACTTGGTTGGTTTTATAAATCAAATTGTTGATGTTTAATATTTGTCTTTCATGTCAAAAAAAGACTAATCAATATAAACAATTGAACTTTATACAGGAACACCTTCCTCTCTAAAATATAACATATATAATATTTATGTAATTTATATTTATCACTTTAATTAGTTTTGGTAGTGTAATCATAATCTTTTGTTATAATTCACAATTTCATTATATGTATTGTGGTTTTTTTTTATTGTATTGAATATTATCATACATCTAAAACTTTTTAGCTACCTATGATCACCTCCTGCAACAGTATTGTCAAACTCAGCCAATAGCAGGTGGAATTCTGTCACACCAACACCAATAGACATTCAATCTGTGAACGAATTGTAGGCAAAAAATTAACAATCACTTCTTTGAATGAATGTGTAGTATTATCATGTAAATGGAAGTTTGATGCATGTTTTAAGATTATCATACCTTCAATATTTCACCATGAATCTCACTATGCTGTCATGTTTACATTTGGTAGCATGTCCACTTATAAATATGATACTCACTGTCGCTGTGGGCGTAGTTGGACCTGAAATTAAGGATGAAAAGAGATGTAAGAGAATTTCTGGTCAACTGGGTGATTTATTTAGATTATTTGTTTGAATTTCTTCTTTTGACTTCCATACATATTCAATTGAATGAATTGAAGCTGCGAGGGACATCTGATGTTATAGATGCTACAGTTATTTGACCACAATGGACTCCCATATTTTAGTGAAATGACAATCTTTAATAATCAGTCACGTTATTTGTTAAGGGCGTGATGTACCAATGCAAGACCTGGAACTAAAATGAGAATTTCTAGTCGAGATCCTGTAACGATCAGAATCACGTGGATTTCAAATCAGACAATACTCTGCCCAAAAAGGTAAGCATGTTCTAATCCTTACAATACCCATAAGATTGACAACCTAACAAATGTAGGCTAAGCTTCAACTTTCACTTGACTACTGGTATAAAGGTCTAACATGACCTTGAACTGAACCCACTTGGGAAAAAGCAAATTGAAGCTGAATGGAACTCAGGAACCCTGATTACATACTCAATGCTGCAGTATAGGGATTTTAGATAGCAGATCTAAATTCAGCCGTCTACGTATGGAACAGGGACGATTCAGTGGCCCAAGCTTCCAGAAACTCAGACCCTCGACCTTTTCATACTTCACATTCCTGCACAAGCGCCCGAGATGTGGACAGCGCTGTATATTGAGCTGCAAAGGCTGCACACATTCGTGTTGTCAGGCATCAGAGAAGCTGACAACGGAGAAAAAGGACGAATGCAAAAGGCATTTCTGAAGTTAGAGGTATAAAAACCATTGAATTTGGAGGTCAATCCTATCGATGATGCATGTGTGCTGATGACACTTCACATGTATGTCACCAAGTTCATCACGTTGGTTCATTCAAATCTATAATAAGCTATGGAGAATTCACCATACATGAATGAAGTCCGCAGTCGACTTCGAAGCTGACACTGCAGCGAACCAAGTCACTCTCGCATTCTAATTGGTATACAAAATTTCTTGAGTGACCGCCAATCGAGCGCTTTATTCAGGACGTCTACCTAGCAATTTTCCGAGAAGAAACATACCATCAGCAGGGATGCCACTCAGCGGTAGAGACTTTCAGATCGAAGGTTTTCAGCTATCTCTGTTTCCCAGCGGTCACCGTTTTCAAGAAGCTTCTCCTTGTCATACAACAATTCCTGTTCGAGGGAAAAAAACAAAAATAAAACGAAGATTAATTAAACGGCAATATCAGAAAATGATGCCCCTATTAACATGTAGATAATAGTGGGAGCTATCTACGGAATACCGGACCATAACCACCACATGTTCTTCGTGAAGCTCACCTCATGAGTCTCCGTGGTGAACTCAAAGTTAGGACCTTCCACAATAGCGTCCACAGGGCAAGCTTCTTGGCAAAAGCCGCAGTAGATGCATTTAGTCATGTCAATATCATATCTGCAAAATACAGGCAGAATAAACTTAGAGCTCGCCTACGACTCTAAATCAAGCGACAGCTGTAGATAACCGAGTGGAAATGAGGGTATTAGTGACAGGTAAGCCCTCGCGTACAAATCGGCATACAGGTAAGAGGTAATCTTGAATTCTTCTCACAAAACTGCATACATTAACATCATCTTCTTAAACCATAGCAGCAATAGTAAGCATCAATACTCACAATACAAGCACTACCTGGTGGTTCGACGACTACCATCTTCACGCTCTTCTGCTTCAATAGTGATAGCCTGAGCAGGACAGACCTGCACGAGACGCAGGAGGCAAGCATGCCCCAGACAAATGTGAAAAAAAATGTTGCAAATTAGGGTTGATAACTATTAATGATCGTTTCACAAACAACTACCAAAACACCTTGCATTGTACCCTGTGATATTTTCTTCGGCGTGCAGAAATAGGTGAATGAAAGCACACACATAATTTGCGAGTTCCTCTTAATGTTCTGTGGCTTGGAGGTGTAGAGGAAAAGGAGGGCCACTTACCGCCTCACATAGCTTGCAAGCAATGCACCGTTCTTCACCGGTAGGATACCGACGCAGAGCATGCTCCCCTCTGAAACGAGGACTCAAAGGACCCTTCTCGAAGGGATAATTGATCTGCAAACACGGTGGAACAGCATTGACCGTTGAATAATCAATTTGGATACAACAGAAGAGAGAAAGCTAACAGGAAATTCAAAAGCACAATGCTCCCACATTTTAGATTGGTTACTTGTGATGACCAACGCTTCCCAAGAATGGATCGTAACATTGAAGCTTGATCGAATCCTATAGCTCGTCTATTTGCGTGGATTGTAAGGGATGGAAAATCATACTGTGACTTTCTTCTCGAAAAAATATTTGAGTGCCAAACCCATGCCTCTGGCCATCTCCGACAGAAATAAGGTATTGACGCTGTGATCCAGAACTGCATTGACAAGCGAAATGAGGCCACATCAGCCTTAGCGACTACAGACTTTTAGAGAATCCCTACAAATCTCAATTTTTGGAACGAATCTCAACAACAACTGGAGTCAAAAAAATAAAAATCAAATCAAATACTGCATTACCAAATAATATATCCAATAATTACCTGCACTCCAGTCCTTAGAGTCCTTAGTTTCTGCAGCCTTCTCAGGATCGACTGAAGAAGCTGAACAATCACAGACAAGACAACGGAATCAACATCAAAAACCCCAAACTCTTCGCAAGCAAAGAGCAGAAAATCCACCTCGATTGAAAACTCACAATCGACGAAACACGTTCCATCCTTACAGTAATCTTGAAATCCAGAAACAATAACCCTTGGCACTGCAAATCATAGGAACATTGAAACAAAGGCAACCCAATGCTAAAAAATCCCGAAACAGTGACGGCAAGGTTCGGCAATCCGAAATCCAGGAATGGGACAAGGGGTAAAGGGCAGAGGCGTACGAGTAAATTGATGGCGAGGTTCCTGCGGCTGTTGGGACTCCTGGGGCGCAACGGCAGAGAAGGCTCGACAGGTCTGCAAGGCGCCAGGAGTGCACCGGCGAAGAAGGTGCCCGGCAAAGCGTGTGCTCATCGCCATGGCTGCTTCAAGGTCGATCGTCGCGCTGTGTAGGTGGACTCGGAAGCAGCTTCTCACGAGAGAAGCAATCAAATGGAACCACGGCAATGCAGAGCACCAGGATTTCTGATAGTGCGCGAGGCTCTCGGCGTTGTGGCCTCCACGAGCTCCTAGGGCTATCGACGAAGCCAGCAACTCGCTAGAGTGTCCCTTCGGTTCTGCCGCTCTTGCCGCGCTCGGGATCCCCACCGTCGCACGTCACCCACGCCGGCATAATAGATAAAAACGGTATATTGTCATTCGTTCTTATTTACCTGCACGTGGTGTTATTGGAGGGATACAATTATATTTACATCTTGGTGTATACTTGGGATTAGATGTCATTGTACAGGACAAGATATTTTTAACATTTGTATAGTCTTTGCAATGCTGATAAGCCATTTGTAACTTTATGAGTGAAATATAGAAATATTGAGTATTTATTAGTCTTTAAACACAAAGCGAGTTAGTGTAAATTATGAATGAATTCCTCTAGAAATTACATGAAGTTTTTATACAATAGATGGAAGTCTTCAACTCTTCTAAATAAGAAGATAAGAGGAAGGATATCTATATCTATATTTTATAACAATCCAAGTATTATCTTGTTCTTAATGTTATTTAAATTTTTTTCCTAAATAAATGTATTATTTGCTTTATACTTTTTGATATTTATGTTCCTTATTTATGTATTCCTATTAAAAATAATTATAAATTGTAGCAAGAAACAACATCTATATGTGACACAATTATGAATCATCTTAAAAAAATCTTATTCTTGTTAAACAAAAGTCCAATATAATTCTCTAACCAAAGTAATTTGAAATCTATCAAGTGTTCAAATTGTACAAACCCATATACATACTATTATTGACAATGTTGTTAGTTGGTGGTTATAAGAATATAATTAAATAATATAATTTGTGTACAAATTAAGATAACACAACAATAGATTTTCTCTCCTTTGAGATTGAAACACATGTTGATATTGCAATAGACTTGAAGAGTGTAATACATTTATTTTAATAGAAATGTGTACCAAGGTCCCACTTTCACTACTAACATAGCACATCTTGTTTGCCATTTCACCATCAGTCCACCCATCCATTCGTCCGTCCACTCGATCCGTTCGTTCGTCCGTTCGTGGAGTGCCATGAGGATCTGCTGTGAGCCAGACGTGTGAAGGTCGTCGTGGCGAATTGCATCGACTGGAGGGTGAGCGAGCGTTCGAGCATCAAACGTGGTGACTACATAGCTGGATCCTCCACTCTGCAATTGGAACTGCGATGCGACGTCATCGATGTCTGGTGTTGTCAAGTTCAGTGGCGACTCGATGACTGGTTTCTCGCTGCTTGGATTTCAACCCCTGGACATGAAAGCTCATCCACAGAGAGAATTGAGTGCTACAATTGAGGAAAACCTCTTGGGTCTCGCTGCTTAGGGGTATTTGGACTTGAGGGTTTGTACCCTGACGGGCGCAGTTGGGCCCGCATTGCTTTTGAGATGATGGCCGATACATAGCAGGTTTTGGGATTGTGAAGAAGTGAGGGGTGTGGTTGAACTGGTATCGGAGTTGCCATGTTCGCACCTCGTGATGCATGCCGTCTGTTCCAACTGAACATGGCCCCTACTCCATCCTCTTGCCTTCGTTCCCGTTCTCCTCTCCTGGTTTACGCTGCAGGCAAGGTATCCACTCGTCTGAATTGTTTGTCTCTTTTACTTGCTGCTTCTGGCTTTTTCTTTTTTATTTTTTTATTTTATTTTTGTTTTTTTTCCTTTGGTTTTGTTTTCGCGTTCTATGCGTCCCTCAGCTCTCGCGAGTTCCATCGTCGCATTGGAGATGTGAGCAGGGTATTGTAGCAATATCCTCTATTCCAATGGAAGAATAATTTTGACGTGTTTCATACAATTTTCCTGAGTCGTTTGTGCTTGTCGATGCTGTCCATTTTATTGTGAAGGTTACTGTATGTGCAATTTTGAAGTTTTTGTTTTAAAAGAGGTCAAAGTCGTTTGAGAGGAATTACTTTCCAAGGATCGGAATTTGTCGGGGAACTGATTGAATTAGAAGAATATCCGAAGCATCTTCGCTGCACCTAAACAACCTGTAGCATTGTTAGTATGTTTCATTCTTCGACATCCTGTGACCCGATTGGCATATGTGCTGGCTGCTAGAACCAAGAATCTCCTCAGCCACCAAGGATCACCTCTAATGTGAAACGCAACCTTCATCTACTGAAGATCTTTAAGGTGATATTTTCCGCCCTTTTGTTATTGTGGGTATCTTTGGCATCTCAATTTCTTCAAACTTGCGAGTTGGGGTGATGCAAATTGTTCTGCACATGATAACCTGGCTGATGTTCGGTGTAGTTTGAGGTCTTGATTTTGGTTGTTACGAATCTGTATTGTACGTGTGTGTACAATTTATGTTGGAGAATGTGCATTTCTCTTGGACATTAGGAATTTGCTAAGAAGCAATCAGGAGGTTATACCAAGCCTAGCACGAGTTATAGAAAGAAGAGGGTAGATAAGCAGGACATGCCTAATGGTGCTGACCCTTACGAGGACCCAACCACAAAGCTTTATCAGTACGTTTTCTTTGCTCTGCTTTAAATGTTGCGATTCTCACTGCCAAACTAACCGCGTCAGCTTCTTTGCTCATTGCCAGTGTGATGGGAGCTCATCAGATTGTGTGTGTTGCATTTTGTACAGTTTATCGCTAGTGTGAGCCTCGACTTTAAGTTATTGGGCATGATAATGTGTGGCAGCACCAATGATGGCTTTGAATTGGCGACACCAGTGCTGTTAGTTGATGGATACAATATGTGTGGCGCCTGGCCTAAGCTGAAAAAGCATTTTTCACGCGGTCAATTAGAGACGGCCAGAGACAAACTCATACACGAGCTCATTACATTCACGCATGTGAAAGGTATTATGGTTTTTTGTGTCAACTTGAGAAATTGTTTTATACTCTCCAGTCGACAGATGTGAGGCCATCTGTCTAGTTGATTTTGATGTACTGCTACAGATACTATTAATTCGTTGCCGTCAGAATAGGTTACGTACATTTTTAGGATTACCTTGGCGAGTCTAGAGGTTGCAGCTTTGATATGAGGGTGAACTCCAACTTCTAGCCACTTCCTGACTCGATAGTATGTGAACACCAGACAAACTTTTTTATCACAATTCTGACTCCCTGAACGGAAATCGTTGTTGCAGGTGTGAAAGTAGTTTGTGTTTTTGATGCTGTAATGTCGGGTTTGCCCACCCACAAGGAATCTGTGAACAGGTAATTAATCATGCTTGAAAGACAATTTTAATACCATCTAAGAGCGGAACTAGAGCTTTTTTTGATATCATGTGAGTATTGGGCGAATATTGTTCACAGTTTAACACAAACCTCTCAGTCCGTGAGTTATGGAGTGGCCTCTAGTCTTCACATGTGATACGTGCAACTAGCAAACGTGCGTGATGTCTTGTTGATGTACTGGCAACTATTGAGGATTATGTAAGTTACATGAATCGCACGCACATTGTGGAAGCCGATTTTCGCAGTCTGCACTATCAACATCGGAATCATAACGATGGGGCTGGATTCTTTTGGGCTTAATAACTGGTTGTGGGTGGCCTACCCTGGTGGCTTGCAGTGTGGATATTGTGTATTCTGCGGATACAGATGCCGACTCGTGGATTGAGAGAGAGGCAAGTGATTGTTATTTTATGTCAAGCATTTCATTAGTCCTAAATTTCTATTGTAAATATTGCGATGTCTGCGTTTGTATGATAAGTTCTTACCAGGAACAGACTAGTCTCGGAAATGCGAGATGAATAACAGATGCTTGTAGAGGTATCTCTGAAATGCTTAATTTTGAGCTCTACGAAGTTCCATTTAACTCATTTTCTTGGCTTTTGGATTATGGTGCATGGCAGATCACATTATTAAGGGCAGACGGATGTCCAAAAGTTTGGGTGGCCACCTCAGATAGTTTTCACCAACAAGCTGCACATGGCGCGGTTCGTAACTCTTCTCCCCAATCAACTTGTCTAAGCTTTTGCAATACACAAAAGAGAAGAGTATTCAAGGGGTTTGTTTTCCCAGTGAACTTCAATGAGATCTTGTCTTTTTAGAGTTGAAAATTTTAAGGCTCTTTGTCGTGGGTACAGGGTGCTTATGTCTGGACCTGCAAAAACCTCATTTCAGAGGTATGTTTAGAAAATCCTTTTGAGCACTTTCTCTCCCTGGCCCTCTTTTGAATGGAACGAATAGTACCCTCATTTTTTTATTTTCGTTGATCACGTTGTACTCTTGATTCCTGATGCAGACCTGCATTTGCCGGTCATCGAAGCACTTGTAGTTTAGCAACTTCATTGTAGTTATTGTCTAACACTCGGATAACAGAGAACTTGAATAACAACTAGTTCTCTTTTATGGTTATAAAGTAGAAATACTAGAAGTTAATGTAAGTTTGCAAAACTTCGAGACTTCGTTATACACCCGACACGCCCATAATGTTTTAGGATCTACTCCATGGTTGAATGTAGATCAACGATGCAAAGGAGGAGTTGCAGGAGTTGCTGTACGATGAAACGTATGATTACCTTATTTTCTTAAACTCCACTCTTGGATGGCATCTCAGGGGCCACTAATCCAGAATAAATCAGATGTCTTCAGTAGCATCTTTCAGTTCTCGCATCTCTTTCTGTCGAGTTTGTCGGGCCTATTAATGCGTAGATTTAAAACGTGCTAATGGGGTTTTCTGGTTGCAGTATGTATTCAACAAAAGGGAAGCTTCTGGAGCACAACCTAGATCCTGAGGTGCGGAATGCTCTACAGGCGTTGAAACAGCAATTGAAAACCCAGTAACTGTTGTTTGGAAGAGGTATGCATTTAACGTTCTACATATTTGACCAAAAACACATTTATTAAGCGACAGGTAGAATTCTGTCAGAATCTCCTGTGGAGATCCTTTTGCACGACTAAACTATATCTTCGTAGGCAATGCCTGTGAAGATATTCTATGAGCATGCCATCGTGTCAGCTTAGGCATCAAGCTTAATTTGCTGCCCATGCTGTCCTCCTGCTTATCTTCTGGAAGTATATGAAAGAGTTTCTTCAAGCTGATTAAGTCTTTCTTCTATCTTTTTGCATTTGTTGCAGAATGGTACCAGTATATCGACTTCAATTGCTCATAGACAGGCTGGACCAAAAAGTGAAGGTCAAGTTTTCAGAACCCACCATATAGAAGGGTAAGAGCTTGCTCATGCCGCTGGTCTTTGAATTCTGTAGCAGGTCTCGAATGTTTTTAAAAGTCAGTGACCTCAGCACATTAACCAAGTGGAAATCGTGTACTAAGTGGAAATTTGGTGCTTTCGTGATTACCTCAATCACAATGAAATTGTTTGAAATCGTGCCAAATTCCAAATTCTTTGTAGAGGCAAGGTTTAGAGAGGTTTATGCCAAACGTGTGATACCACTGCATGAATACTCAGGCATCTTTCATTGAAATCTTATTTCCCGAGTCACTCAACCCTTAATGCCCATTCTCACCGATTTTAACATTTTTCCAGTGAGAAGAAGAGTGTATCGTCTAACTTAGTCCACAAACAAGTTCTGAAACTGTGTCCTAATGTCACTACTTTATGCTAAAATTGTCATTATGTTTAAGAACATTCTGCTGAGCTAATAGTTGCCCTTACCAATATTTGAGTTTTCACCAATATTCAGCAATTGCTATTCATATCACAAACCACCTTGTCATCGTGTAATTAGCTATCATGTATCGCAATAAATGGAGTATTACAAACCAATAACAAACATGCAATCAAAACCAAACAAGAGTGTACAACCATCTTGCTCTTATGGATAGGAGTACAAGTCGTTACAACATTGAATCAATTGAGCTATTTTTTATTCAACTTATTCAACAAAGGAAGAATCCAATGCCTTAAGTGTGGGAGAATAAAGTAAGAGGCTTTATCAAAGCAAACCACTTTACTTAAAAGCCTTCAACTTGATTAGATGGCAATCCAATAAGTAATCTTTTTCAAAAGACTCGTAATGCTTGATTTGGTACGAATGTTAAATCTAAGGAGTCTTCTTTTCTATAATTCCAAATCTTAATTGTACCATAAGTCAAACCTAATTTGGGTAAGTCCAAAGAAGGATAAAATTCTAAAGTTAAATAAAGTCATGTGAGTTGCATTTTACTTATCATAGAATGATACTTGATATACTTTATGAGACAATTATTGTGTGAGTTATTATCATGTATTTCAAGAGATTGAGTATTACAAATTAACATAAAACATGCAATAAAAACCAAATAAACATATGTAACCATCACAATTTCAAATGCATACTCTTTTCCTCTCTTCTTTTTTTTCTACTTGATATTAAAGTACTTCTAATCAATTAAGACTATACTAAATATGTAGCTAGGAACAAATACTTTAGTGAAAACACTTAGTAATATCTATCTGTATCCATGATAAAGTTGTATATAGCCAACAATATTAAGAAGCCTGCATGAAGATATGACAAAGTAATTGTACTTAGATACGATTGTGAATCTCATCCTTCATCATCCTCAAGAAATTTTTAATGTCAAATTCCTTGATTAATCTATGATTACAATATTGAGTCTTGCACACTCCATATTTAACATCTAATCAAGTTGAATTGTAATATTATGACCATAAATTCAAAAGATCTTACTTCTTAGATATTTTTAGTTCATATTTTAAGATTAAACATGATATAAAAATCTTTGAAAATATAGACAAATTTAATTTTTTATAAATAAAACTAAAAATAATAATATTAAGTATATAATATGTCAATCACATTGATATTGGTTACACATTTACATGGTAGCGACAACCTCATCTTCACCATAAACTAAACATCAAAGATTAATTGATACAATTGTCAACCTTGGAAAATGTATCTTCAATAAATAGATAATAAATAAATAAAGTTTTAAAATTTTCTTTATATTTCCTTCTATCCTTGCTTCTAAGTAATAAAAGTGCACTAAGCAAGACATTCTTTATATATAAGATTGTTGTCACGAATTTAGAATACTGACTGGAAACAAGAAGCTTAAGAAGAATCGATAAGAACTAGATTAATCAAATGAGTACAAGAACAACACTAGAGAGGTGAGCTAGAGCTCCAAGAGGTGTGTTGTCAAGACTAAGGATCCCCTCAGTCTCAGCTCCTATATATACTACAAGCTACGAAGCTTCTGAAATAGCTTCCACAAACTAAGAAGCTTCTCAAGTAGCTTCTACGAATTAGGAAGCTTCTCAAGAAGCTTCCACAAACTACAAAGCTTCTCTAGAACCTTCTAGAATCTTTTATAACTTTCTAATGTATGTCCTTGACATCACTCTCCCCTTTAGCTTCGAGATCTTCGAGAAGCACTCCTATTATAAGTCAGTACCAACATAAGTTGAAAATTTATCGCATAATGTCTGCAATATACTCTAATTGTTGTTTGCGCGGCAAGTAGTTCATTGGTCCTTGTAATCAATGATAGTGTCCTACTCCTTCGATTTTCGACTAGGCATGAACTTTCGTGCCTTCATTGTGAAAATGCCCTGCAGACACTCCTTTCGGAAGATCTTTGTAGGCAAGTTCTATGTCAAACATAATCATTAGCAACCTGTTACTAGGTATCCTCCGTCGTCTTTGTGGAACATGCGGTTCTTCATCTTAAGGTCATCTTCGTGAGATACTCGGTTGAAAAGACATAACTGGTATGGTATCTATCTCTTGGCTATCCATATCACACCAAAAAATACAAGCACTAAACATGGAAGAATGGACTCAGGTTATAGATTTATAGTCTCTAACTATGTCTTTTAGATGTTCCTTTTCCCCTTCTTTGTAAGGCCGAGGATTAAAAGGCTTCAAGGAGAAGGAACTTCACTGAAAAACTTTCATCGAAAGAGCTTAGGTTTCTGAAGATAGCATCGATGGAACTCCTGTACCTTTTGCAACGCATTGATAAGATTTTTTGCTAGTTCTCATGTGCGCTCATTGATATCATAGCCGTTCCAATGCACTAGGTATTCTAATTTTTCCCACTTATGCTGTGAATCTAGTACCTTTTCCACCTCATATTTCTTGTGGTTCTCAATTTCAATACTAGGTGGCGGACATTGCACTCTTCAAAGAAAAGACGACTCTCGATAAGGCTCTAATAAATAAACATGAAAAACTAGGTGTACCTTCATAGCAGTTGGTAACCCCAAACAGTATGCCACTAAATTGATTTGCTTTTGGATGACAAATGGTCCCAATCTCCGGTAGTCCAACTTATCACATGGCTACTTGGTTTTGATATTTTGTCGAAGTAGCCATACTTTATTTCCAATTTTGAAAGTAGGTGCCTCATGTCGAAATTTGTCTACGGACACCTTGTAAGCTTCTTAGGCGGTTTGCAATTGAAGTTTCAATGTAGTTTGAAGCTCGAATAGTTGTTTCACAAATCCTTCAAGTACCAGGTTGTTATTGGTTGATGGACTTAACAAATCAAGCTTCAAATGATATCTATAGTTCGAAAAGAATGGTGTTTGTTGAGTCGACGCATGAAGGGTATTGTTATATGCAAATTCAGCTAACGATAGATATGCAATCCAATCATCTAGCTGATAGTTGATGCTATATCGTAAATACTGCTCCAAAGTTTGATTCACTTGTTCTGTTTGGTCGTCAGTTTGAGGATGGAAAGCCAAAGAAAGCTTAATATTCACCTTCAATATCTCAAAGAGAGATCTTAAGAACTTCAATACGAATTAGGTTCCTCAATCCAACACGATATCATCTGGTAAATCATAATATCGATACACACTATCAAAGAAGAGCCTTGTTGTGTCTTTGCTTGATGATGTTTTCTTGCAAGGGACAAAGTATGCCATTTTTTTAAGTCAATCTACCACAACAAAGATGTTGTCAAATGAATTCGATGGCGGCAGGTCTATAATGAAGTCCATGAAAACTGAAGACCATGGCCGACGTGGAATAGGTAATGGCTGAAAAAGACCATAAGGACGATGCCATGGATTCTTGGATCTTGAACAAATGTCACATAAGAGGACAAAATCTTTGACATCCTTCCACATTTGGAGCCACCAAATATCTCAAGAAATAAGTTCTAAGGTCTTATTAAATCCAAAATGTCTTGCAATTGGAAAGTCGTGTCGAGATTAGAGAACTTGGAGTCATGCTGGTTCTTTTGGAATATACAACTGCTTCTCAAAATATAAAAGATCTCCTTCTACCTTGAACTTGTTATTATTGACACGTTACGTGATATCAAGGGCTATAGAATCTTCAATAGTTGCAATACGTACCTAGTTGAGGAAGTCAGCATGAATTGGTATTATAGTAGAATAAAGCCTGAATTGTTCCGACTTCAACAATGTTGTACACTGTTGATCAAATGCTGCTTCTCCAACCTTTGGCGCTAGATACAATTTCCTTGATAATGCATCAGATAGTCCTTGTTGCTTCCCAGGCCGATAAGTACATAGTCAAACCTGAATAACAACATATTCCATCAAGCTTGATGATAATTGAGAATCCAAGCTGACATGAAGTACTCCAAAATCTTGTGATCCGTATATACGGTCACCAGATGTGCAAATCCTTTGAAAAAGTGACACCACTCTTGAAAAGAATCCACTATCACAAGAAGTTCTTTATCGTGGATCTCATAGTTGATCTTGACAGCAGAAAACTTTCAAGAGTAGAATGCAATTGGATGAAGCTTCTTGTCTATGCCTATCTGCAAAAGTACAACTCCCATAGTAAAATCTAAAGCATCGGTCTCTAAATAGAAGGCCTTTAGAAAGTCCGAATGTACCAAGATTGGAGCCATAATAAATGTTGTCTTAAAATCTTGAAATGCTTTTTCCGCTAGAGGTCTCCATTCGAGCTTGTCTTTACATGTCAATTGAGTGAGCAGAGCAACAACTTGAGAATAATTCTTGATGAAGATCCAATAGAAGTTAGAAAAGCCAAGAAAGCATTGTACATCTCTAATCATCTTTCGAACTTCCTATGATATAATTGCTTCCACCTTCTTAGGGTCCATCTTCAAACCTTCCGTAGTTGCAATGAATCCCAAAAATTCCATCTCTGTTTGGTTAAACAAGCACTTTTCCAATTTGGCATAGAGTCCATGCTCGCAAAGTTTTTCAAGGATCACACGAACATGTTTCTCATGCTCTTTTATGTTTTTGGAAAATATCAAAATATCATCTAAATAGATGACAACAAAATCATCAAGGTGCTCCCAAAAGATGTCATTCATCATGTGTTGAAAGACCGCAGGAGCATTGATAAGACCAAAAGGCATGGCATTATATTCAAAATGGCCATACCTTATACGGAAAGCTGACTTCCATTCGTCTTCTTCCTTGATTTGTACGAGGTTGTAAGCTCCCCTTAGATCAATCTTTGTAAAGATCCTTGCACGTTCAAGTTGTTCTAGAAGACATGATATCAAGGATAATGGATAATGATTCTTCTTTGTCACCTTGTTGAGA